ATGAGAAGAACTGTATATCCTACAGTTTTCTGTCAGTGAAATGAGTCAGTATTTACACTGCAAAAAATGATGCAAAATCTTGATTAAATTTGTACTGGAAAATACAAAGTAAGATTTTTTTTTTGCAAGAAATATAGCCTTTAATAAATAATAAAACTTTGAATTAGGTTTATTTTCATGACCCCATTAGCTTATATTTGTTCTTTAATTTTTTATATTTTTATTTTTTATTAAATACAATTTTAAGTAAAATGCACCTTTATTTAAGGATGTTTATATATTTTCAGTGTATTACAGACAGAAATTCAGATATGTGCAATTATTTGAATGTTTTTATATTTTTAACACACATTGACTTTTTTTTTTAAAGATTATCCTTGAAAATTAAGTATTTGTTATTTTTATTATTGTTGTATATATTTATTTCTGTTTTAATTAATAATTCATTTAACTAAAATTGCTATTTTTGAAATAACTAAACTCACAGCTTCACTTTGCAGAGTGAGACGCACAGACGCAATTCACACATGCAACTTACTTGGTTTGTTCACATATACGAGCTGAATCGCTCAGACAGCATTTGGAGGGCTCAAACGAACTGAGATAGATGGATAGATAGATAGATAGATAGATAGATAGACACACATACTGTAAATATGTTCTCTCATCTGTCAGATCGATTAGGATTTGAAGGAAGTGGGAGTGAGCACGTTTGGAGCGCGACGCAAGATGATCCTCGCCATCACAGGTCACTCTCATTAACCAAACTAATGGTAATGGTTATTATGGTGGATAAATATAAACAGTTGATGAGTTTTCATTTGAAACTTTTCTGCATTTTCCCCTCAACAGATTTAAACAAAAAGAGGAAGTTTCCAGAAACGTCCAGTGTAAAGTCAGGATATCTGGAGGGAGGCGCAAGTGGCCGTCTCCCATGGATCATGAATGAGGATGTGGCTGCCAAGAGTAACCGTTGGTGACAGGACGATGTGACTGCTATAGAGTTTCCTATAATGCACCTGGGGCCAGTTTGTGCTTCCTGTCATGTGGCCCTCAGGGACCAATCAAAGTATGACATGATAGATGATTTCCATATAAGACAGAGAAGACAGATGTGCTGTGACTCTCAGAGGAAACATGCAGAGAAGTGTGACCTTCAGCGTGAACCGACTGCCTGCCTGTCCAGAACCCACACTTAGTATGCAAGTCTCTGACTCTCTCTACCTCTGTTTCTCTGTCTTCTGTTCTTCTATGCAAAACTTCATTTCATTTATGTATTGTTCAAATATAAGAATACTTTCAGACCATGTTTAAATGTCAGTTAAATTTGGATATTTCATTAAATGAGAACCAAAAACACGTAGTTTCCTGTATTAACTTTAATGTTGGATTTTAGAGTTGTGGTGTCTATTAAAGACAAAAAATAATCAAAAATAAAAAGAAAAGTAATATTGGATTACTGTAAGCATGCATTGATCACAGGATAAAAAATTGACCCTGTAAAATTAGTAATACAATAATTATTTTAATAAAAAAATATGTAATGATTTTTCTTTATTTTGTGACACAAACCTTCATTAAAATAAATAATAAAATAATTATTATTTTAATGTAAATAGTTTTTGTGACAAAATCTTTATTAAAATAAGTTACAAAATAATTATTTTAAATTAAGTAATTTTTTTGTGACACAAAACCTTCATTAAAATAAGTAAAACTATAATTATTATTTTAATTTAAATACTTTTTTGTGACACAAAAAACGCAGCCCATAGAGGGCGTCCTATCACTGCCTGTGCCTCTATGATAGCTTCAATTTTGTGCATTAAAACTTTCTGGGAATAATTTTTCCTAGGAAATGAGCAAATTATATAATTTCATAACCTTTCAAATTACCAGCTCGGCACAGTTCTCTGTTAAATAAATATACTGTGAGCTAAATTAATAATGAACTGCTTCTATTCAGCAGAGAAAAATATGAAACCACTCTCAATATTTTGGCGCTGCACCCCAGTGCACAAGTGAAAGTTTTCAATTAAAATTATCTGTTGTGAGTGTGCTCAATGTTTCTCTCATTTACAATTTAATGTATCTCCCGTTTTTTCGTTTTTTTTCCCGAATACATTGTGCAGATTTCTGCTGTGTCAATATCTTGGCTGTGGCTGATGGGGATTTTCACACTCTTAACACTTTAAAAGAGTAAAATGTTAACAGCACATAATCAGAAACCACACTACTGACCTGCATTACCCACGTTAAAATATTGCCACTTAACATTAACAGCATTAAGCCAATGGAGTGGAACGGAATAAATTAAACACACACACACACACACACACACACACTCACACATACAGGACTGCTTGACAGAGAAACTGTCTCATGTCCATGAGTGTCTTGCCACAAGACTGTCTTGTGGCAAGACAAGAGTGTCTTGCAATGTTAGAACCGTTAACCCTTTATTTACAACCAGCACAAATATTTAACCAGTCACAACATGTCAGCTTTTTCAGTTTGTGTGACTGTAGTGCTGATGCACTAATGCACACGCAACTGTCATTAGTTCCATTACAATGCATTTATTGCAGTTTTTTAAAAACGTCTAGCATGATGTATTAATGTAGAGCTCTCTAAAGCTGTCTTCTTTACACAATTGAGTTAAGGCTGCTCTGAAGCTTCTACGTATTCTGTGTACGGATTCAGCACTGCATAAAAGCCAGAATAATGCAGCTCTTATTCATATATATATATATATATATATACGTATGTATGCATGTATATCCTGTATAATATTGCATTTTTCCTTGCTTTACATTTTAGTGTGCAAAAAAACCTTA